TGAATGGTCGGATGGTATAGTTTTTGTTTGGTTGTTGACCTTCCGATTCAAACTCAAGCACTGCTTGTCGTGACCGAACCGAAATATCCAGCATCAACCACGGCTACACGAATTAGCGATGAAGCATCCACGGCTTCGGCTGCTTCCAATGCTGCTGCTTTAGTTACTGCTGCTGCTGTTCATTCTACTAGTCCATCTCCTCTAAAAGTCGTCAAAAGAATGTTGTAGGAGACGGACCAGCAGCAGCAGCATTGGAAGCAGCCGCAGCCGTGGGAGCTGCATCGCTAGTTCGTGTAGCCGTGGTCGGAAACCTCGGTCAGATCAAGATACCGCTGTCAGCTGGGAGTCGTCTAGGAGGAAAGGTGGACGCGACTGCCTTCACGGGTGTAACGAATTTGATAACGGAGTGTTGCTATGAAAGCGATTGCCCTGATTTCTTCATGCTAGGTGGTCGGAATGATTATACGCAGTGCGGTGTGAAATGATGCACCTAGTTCTTTGGACAGGCATTAGGATGTGTGCTGACAATTCTAGGATGTGTGCTGAATCCATGGCGAGACTTGGTGGAGATTTACGGCTGTGTTTTGAAAATAATTTGATTATATTGTGGCAACATCAATAACAAATTTTGACACATGCACACTGTGTAAGCGCAGAAACATTTCAGTGTTAAAAGTAACTTTAAAGATCAGAAAAATTATAATCATGGGTGCCAAACAGTGCCAATGACAATGCCCAGATGTGCCCAAGATTTTTTTTGGCACACTGTGCGGAGTGACGATCCCGTTGGGTTTACGCTGCTACGTGAGGAAGGAAAGGATAGATTGCTGTTTTTAACACCGGTTGAAGAAGTCATGGATTCAATAGTATTTTTAATTAACTTTCATTTGACCACTCTCATGGAGATGGTCACCCTAATGCTTCCAAAGTAGCGCAAACACAGTTTATTAGCTGAGTACAGGTTGTTTAGTTTCAAAAAAGTACTTTTGATGTTAATGTTATTCAGCAAGAGTGGTTCGTAGAAGTCATTAAATGAGTAATATATTCACTTTATTAGCTTTGTTTTGCAGCTACAATTTAAAGCTGATTAATATTTGCATGGACGTGACACTAGAATTTATTGGCTGCTGTTATTCAGTGCGACTGACAAATTGAATATTAGTTGAGAAGAAATTGAGCAAACGCTCTCCAAAACTTTTTTCCTAGCTTCTGCTTGTAGCTGTATCCGCAGCTTTTTTCAGCTACTTTACAGCAGCTGGAAAATATGACTTATAAAGTTGAACATGTTAGTTGGGCAGTCAAGAAAGTATGAAAATCATACTCTGACATATTGTCAACATATATCAAAACAAGAATGTTAACAAACTTTATTAGTGTCATGCGGGCAGAGCTTAGAGGTTTTGGTGAGAAGCAGAGATGCCTTTTTTTCAGAAATGTCTGTAATTGGGCTGCATAAATTTAGCACAAGTTTTGCGTGTGACGAAAGACGAGGGGGATCATGAAATAGATGCGAAATTTGAAATGTCTGTTAAAGTCATGTTCGAGAAAAAATGACCTGCTTTTATCTTATTGAACCTCATTGGAGTTGGGAATACATCCATTTACGCCGTATACGTTAAAAGCAATTAATAAAAAGATAAATTACGATTACACTACAAATGAGGGCAGCTAAAAGTTGAGATTAGTTCACTCATATTCATGAAAACGTAGTTAACTCATAGACTGAGTAAAATTTCCCGACCTTTTACCGGAATTTGTTTTCTAATATGAGCAACATCTCGATACAAATATAAAATTGGTACACGGAAAAAAGTCTTCATGTAGTTACCATTGGGAATGCACATTATTTTTGTCCATTACCAAAACCAAGTATATCTTTCTGAATTTCATATAAAATTCATAACATAACATAAATTTCATTTGACACATAAGGTTCATGTGATTTTGTGGTGCAATTCCCAATTATGATATCACATGAAAGTTATGTGAAATTCTAATGAATATTTTCCATTGGATATGTGATTTATTCTTTGAGTGTATAATTCTAAAATTAGTAAATTTTTCATCGATTTTTGTTATATTTGAAAAGATTTATGAGGCTCGGAAAATTTTACTCAGCCTACAAGTAAACTACGTTTTCTATAGTTTGAGTAAATTAAACATACATTTGAGTCGATCTTATATGCCATGTAGTGTGGAAATCCGTTAGTTACTTAGTAGTGGTCCTTTTGCACGCCAGCAGCGAAATGCATCGTGCGATACCTCAAATCACATGGAACTCAACATAATGATTAGTGCAAGTATTTATATTGATTTTCCTTAACTTGTAGCTTACCTGATACTTTGTAAAAGTTCGTTATGAAGTTTTCTCTCGGGTTTCCTTTGATTTTTCTCGATTTTTTCCATATTTTTACGACTTTTATTCAGGCACAAAACGGCGAAAATGGCTGCTTCGTCCAGCACTAAAACTGCATCCGGGAGTGGGTGTTCGCTTCATTCAAGGAACACGAAAGTAATTTGCTTCACATTGCATATAACGGATTTCTTTATTTTTTTGCTTAAAAATTTCGATTTTTTAAGATAAATTCGAGTCGTAATGAATAATAACAAGCAGTATTCATCGATAATCTTGAATGAGGTAGAATTATCGAGCATTATGCTGATGTTGTTTGCAGTGTGTTTTGTGATGTGAACTGTCACTTTCTTGAGCACCTGCTTTTGTGATTGTTGCATGTTCAAACTCTGGAAGCAATGATATTTGCCCGGAGATTCGGCAACAGAATTGATGGCCAAACGTGACCAAACCTCGACTCGACCAAACTCAAGACCAAACAATAGGTGCCATCGATGCTGATCTTCACCGGATGCCTGAGATTGGGGAAGTCTGTTGAGGTAGTGATGGAAATCAGTAATGACCTTGGAGATATCGGTGAATTCCCATTCGTGATATATGCGATTCCGAACTTCCTATAATGTGTGTAATGCGCTATACTACCATCTCAAAATATCAAGATACAAAACATACAACAATGAAACTGGAACTTCACATTTGTTGCAGCAAACAGGGAGTTCCAATTTCATGAGTGATGTCACAACTGTGTACGAAAATTGTGCTCTAGAACACTTGCCATCATCAGGAAATTTGTGGACTCTTCAAGGAATCACCATAAATGATTTTTGAACATACGAATTTCGAACAGATTTATCAACCAACAATACTAAAGAGTGGATCAGCAAACTTGTAATGACCTTATCTTGTAAACTGAAGCACGCTTACGCAAACCAATTCCACCATCGGATAGGAGAGAATTTTCCCTAGCCGACGATGTTGTTGATTTGGCAAGGCGAGCTTCGATTTGCGAGAAGAGATCATTACAAGATTTGATTACAAAAGTTTTTTTGAATTGTTGGTTGAGATTTCACGACGTTCCTTTCTTATAAACAAACGGCTTTCATCGTTACCTGTCATGATACTTATAGAGATGCGACCCGATATAAGGGATGTGACCGATAAAAATAGATATTATTTGTTTTTAGAGATGTAAGCACGATTTTATCGGATGAATCCGATAAAATGGATTTCTCCGACTATTAATCAATAAATCAAACTTTAGAGTAATTTTTGGCAAACTTTGAATAAATCTGGGACTTTTGTACGCCTCGGTTTCATTACCTTCTTCTTTGACAGTGACTATAGACAGTTAAGTTATAGACCAGCCAACGTGAGTTGACGTATCCAAACAAACCATCAAATCGTATGGAAAATATTCGTTTTGGATACAACATGACAGCACATTGACAGGTCTATAACCATGACCGTCTATATAACAGTGACAACTCGTTCGTGTGGTGGATTTGAAAACGCACGAATTTCAAATGCGTGTTGCAAAATGCATCGCACAAGTAATTTGATTAAAGATGTAAAACAGTGTAACCAAATAAATTTTAAAATTATAAAAGTCTGTAAATAACTGTGAAAACACTAAAAAGTCTGTAAATGTCTGTAACGAAAAAAATGTCTGTGAAAAAAATTAAAGTCTGTAAATTCACAGACATGTCTGTAAATCTGGCATATCTGGTGAGAAGTAACATAATTATGAACTTGAGAAAATTTTCTAGTAGTTTTCCCTTGACTTGCCAAATTAAATCGATTGAGTCCTTCTCCTTCTTCGCATATTACCTTATTGCGTACCCTCAAACATAGTGTTCTAGATGTACTTCCTCAATTATCAATTGAGAGCTTTCCAGAGAGATGCCTGTCCCTTTTTGCATTAGTATTATAGTATTATAGTACAGCACAATCATATTCTTATATGCCCATGGGAAGTCAAGAAATTTTCCAACCCCTAAAAATGAATTCCTAGACCGGATCGGACCAGAATTATCTTGCTTTGTAGCTGCGCAGTCCGCAGCACCCTAATCAGACCATATTATATCTACATATAATTCAGAATGTATCTTACTTTTTTCCCTGAAAGCGGATCTGAACAATTTAGTCAGAAAATGATTATGAAAGAAGTATCAGATCTCACCATAGGTGGATGCACTCAGGTTTTTATAAAAAAGATGTTGGGCCAGAGACATCTTGAGGCAATGTGACGCGTGTGTTTAAATTTAGGTTAGAATCACGCGTCACAAGGAATAAACATCAAAATTTAACAATCCAAACATCGTACGTATTTTTTTCCTTAAATTCTCATCCCAGTTAAAACGTAATCCACCTCTTGGAAGCATAAATCGATTTTTCCTTAATTGATAAGATGTATTATGAGCCGACTGGAAGGACTGGCGGAAAGTGTTACTCATAAATAAACATGATATGGTATACCAATTGCAATTGCATCTTAAAATTTGATCCCACACGCAGACAAATCAGTTTCCAGTATAATCACATCATATTTGCTTTCTGTTTCTTTCTTTTCATGAAACACTTTTTTTCCCGCGAACCTCCAATCCGGCACCGGCCACTGCATCTCGTGTGCGCAACAACATTCGACCAGGGTTTCCACATCAATTAGGCGGTATGGCGGGTCATTTACATATGGCCAACGATTGGCGGCAGCTCAATGGTCGGACTGCGGCTGGATTTCCAAGTTCGCATTTTTTCCACCACCATGCGACCGCCAATCCGGCCCATTTCGCACCGCACATGTTGGCCGCCATCGATCGCATTGAACAACAACAGCAACAGCAGCAACAGCAACTTCAACACCATCGACAACATCCGTCGGCAGCGGCTACTACGATGGGGATGCTCTCAGCAGTAGCCGCCGCAGCGTCCACATCGGCGTCTACCGTCGGCATCTTCAATAACGGCACCGGTGCTGGCGGGGGTGGTAGCAATAATAGCGCGAGCTCCACAATAAACTCACCCCGGATTAGCGATTCCAATGGTGAGTGTTGTTTGGGTATTTTTTATTTTGTTTTCGACGGACCATTCTGAGTTCATTTTTTGGTAAACCAGTCCAGAATGGTGGTACGTTGAATATGCTCCCAAGGAAACGACCACCAATGAATGGAAGGTCGTTGTTGGCTTATGATTTTAATTTCATTTTGCAAAGGTTGTAAAATTGTTATGCGCCATCCGTAGTCTGGCTTTTGGTGGCAGCTGATACCACACAGGGTTATTATTCTAACGGAATGCGTTGGCAAAATGTAAAACTGGGTCATTGATTTTTTTTTTGGTATGAACTTAGGCGTCAAAGTACAGCCAATGATATTTAAAAATGTTTGCAAGCAAGCAAGAAGTCATGCATTATTTAAAGTAGATTCTATCATCTATCTAATTAATTAAATTCCATTTACTTATCAAAGTTCTTACAATTTCAGATATTCACAACACACTGAACAACTGCAACCCTCATAGTACAACTAGTCCAAAGACCTCACCGAATCCCTCCAACGACACCCATCAACGTGTGTCGTCCAACACTGACGAGGCCAAATTGACACCAGACGGCGACTACGATCGAGATGACCTGGACGATGATAACGACCAGATCAGCGTCACAGGCTCGGATCAGGGGAGCAACGGCCAGAACGAAAGTGACCGTCGAAGTCCGCTAATAGGAGGTGCTTTCACATCGTTGATTCAGAAAAATCATGTCAAGATGAAAAGTGGATTGGAAATATTTCAAAATGGAGCGTTCACTGCTGGTCCTTACCCTGCACAGGTTCAACAACCACACCCCCTGAATCATGCATTGGCAGCACAACTTTTCTTCCAAAATCCCCTTATACCTCAACCAAATCATTGGCTGTACAATCAACTGTACGGAAACTACCAGGAACTACCATGGTTCAGACAATCATTGTTCGCAAACAATAACAACAACAATAACAGCAACAACAACAACAACACTACACCGAACAACGACAGTAAAGACAGTCTGGACTCACCAAAAAGCAACGAAGCAAACGGAAACAAACGTTCTATCACGGTGGTATCCAGCAACGGGGAAGAGGAAGAGGAATGCTCTCCGCGGAAAACGATCGCCATCGATGACGATGATGATGAGCGGAGGAAAAATTCACCTTCGGTCACATCGACGAAGAGATCACCAAGCCCGGAGGTTTCACCGGCTTCACCTTGCACGGACAGTGTGTCCAGTTTGACGGTACTGGAAGGATCGACCAAACTGAGCAGGCGTGGCTCTGAGGAGAAACTGACCCGAGAGCAGCAGCACAATTCCAAACAAAGTGATGTGTGGCGTCCCTACTAGAGAAGTGGACGAGTTTTGTAGAAAGATTTGTTATGGTAGATGATTAGAAATGTGCAGCGCAGAACATGTGTTGAAGGCTGAATCAACTGTAGTGTGGATATCAATCTAAGATTTTCATTTCAATATTGGTAATGAGAATAGTAGCAGGCTACAGGATTTTCACTAATTGGACACGAATGAAATTAAAACAATAAATCGGTATTCCCAAAATTGTCACCATTCGAAAGAGGGGCTTTTCCCGTCATTTTAAGACTACTTTTGCAATATTTCATCGGGGACTTTCATATAAAATATGGGTCAATTTGAGCATTTATTTCTTTGGGGCACTTTTCTCCCTTACTGTTTGTATGGAATATATCGGGAAAAAAATTGTTGATCTAGACCCTCTGATAACAATTTTAAGTAATAGTGTCATAATTTCCTGTCCCCTATAATGAATGGTAAAGGTTTCGGGAAAGTCGATTGTTTTGATTTAAAATTATTCTTACTAATACACCGTGTGGTAACTCATATCTTTGAATATACTAAAGCTACGCCGTCTTTGCCAAACTTGTTGTACTGGATTAGATCCTAGGATTAGACCAACAAGTCCAAAGTGTCATTCGACTACACCGCTAGAGGCGTTTTACTTTCAACTGCTTATAACGAACGGGTTGATTGGTTACAAAAAGGAATACCTCGTGATCATGGCCGTACGGAAAGTTGCAATATTCGACAAAGTTGTCCACAACACCAAGTCCTTCGGGATGGTGGGCAGAATAGTTCAGAATTATCTCACCATGTGACAGTGTATGACAGTGTATTACATCAGTTTATCTCATAATAATCAAAAAATAGTAAGAGATTGTATCCAAGACACGATTGTAGATTTGACCCTGGAGCTCGGTATCAATGTTCGGTGACTGTGTTAGGGAAACCATTTTTTTTTGTAGGCAATCGGTGATAATTTTGATAATCATTGCAACAGCTGGACATTAGAAGATGTTTGAAAGAATCATTCGACTCCAGGACAATTGATATGATTTGACGGCCTTTTCGGTTAATCTGGATCATTTTTGATACAACTCATGATTCATGCGACGTCACCAAGTTCCAAAATTGGTTTATCATAACTCAATAGTTCATAAACAATTAAAATTGGTCTATTCACCATTTAAAGGTTTAGTTGTCAGAATTCCGCCAGGTCAGATTTCGGCCCAGGTTGGACTTCTATCGACTTACTTGATTTCTATTGATTTGCTTGATTTCCTACCTGATACTCCGCCGCTATGAGCCCCTGGGATTACCTCTGTTGTGATGTCTTGCCGGGTACCAATCCAACACATGTTTGCAGATTTCGTAGTGTGTGCCCTAGGGTACTTCATTTTTAAATTTCTTGTAGGCCACCCTACAGTTTGATTTAAATATCCAAAATATGAGTCTCTGCAAAAAACGATAAAGATCGATGAAGGCTTAGATGTCGCATAAATTATTTGAAATTTCTGAGGGAATTACTATGAAAGATTTTTGAATTTCAACTCGCAACTTTGCAACTTTGGTCCAGAATGGAAATTAAGCAGGATGCATTTAGAGTAGCGCTACCCAACACAGGACAGAATCTCTGGATCTCAGCAATGATATTATTCTTGTCTAATTTTATTCATCATAATGAATTTTAGCCCAGAATGAATGAGAAATAAATAAAATGTAGCTTGGAACATGTTCATCGAACATAGAAACATTAAATGGTTTCAATGGCAAGTTTAGAATGGTTGGGTAGTCCTGATTTAGAGGTTCAAATTGAAACTTAGGAAGAAAGTGTTTCGACAATGTTTTTTTTTTCTAATAGTTTGGTCCTCTTGTTGGCGTCAATAAATAGGGTTGTCCGTAGAAATAAGGCCTCAGCTAATTTCAACCAATTTGTATAAAAAATACATGTTTGTATCTCTTGAATTGACCGATTTAGAGCAAATATCTTTAATTGTCTTAGGGTGTTTCTACATAAACAATTACGTTTCTCTATTTTTTGTTTAATTTAACATTTTCTGAGCAAAGCTGTCTTCTCAAAACTTTAAGAATTTCTGAATACACAAGTTTTGCCGTGCAGAACTCTTCGATATATTTTTCCGATCTAGAATAGTTTCAATTTTCTTTTAAAATACGCCTATTTTAAATGTTAGTACCTCTTGATGCGGAAAACGTTAAAAAAAATCATCACATTTGAAAGAATATTTTTTTTTCTTTAATATTAAACCATTTTACAAAAAATATTTTTAAATTTTCTATTGTATGAATATGACTATGATCATTTTTTTAAATTAGTTGGGTATAACTTCTTTATATAAAGAGAAACAAACGATGTTTTTATAGCAAAACGTACATTATTGAACAATTTTAATTAAAAAAGTTACCCGCTAAATATGTTTTTCAGAGGGCCATTCTAAAGACAAATTAAAAAAAAGGTGTTTAAATTTCTCATGAAAGGCATTCTTGAGAGACATTTGAAGCATGAGACGCATATTTTGTTGTAAAACATCGTCTGTATGAAGTAATGATATTGGGTCGTTAGGCGAATGCTTAAGTTAAGCAGCAAAAAAGGTTATCTTCCATTTAATTCCACTTAAATTTATGTTCGTATGTATGACAACATAGATAGCAAAATTAATTAAAGTGGATTTAAATGGAAGATAACATTTTTTGCTATTTTATCGTCTTTTTTTATACAAAGAAGTGTACCGTCGAGCAGAGACCAGGTCCTACGTTGTGTCTTTTTATTTTCAGGATATACTACGCACGTTTAAAACGCAACCGACATTTCAATCTATTTCACATCCAATTACAAACTATGATCCGAGAAACATTTCAAACTGTCACAAACTACATGAAAAAGGTTATGCTATTGACTTCTCTGCCATCGTTAGTATTAGTAAGCAGCAGGGCTGTCATCTGATCACCCAATGCGCGCAATGTAATGGAATTCTGCAATATACAAAGTGAGAATCAAGCAAACACACTTTTGTTTTTCAGCCTGCGCAAGTGTAGAGCAGCGGAGAAGAGAAGACATACACGCATCCAGAAATAACGAAATCTCAGTGTGTAGCCATCGCTCCACGGCTCCGACGCAAAGAGCGCCACTCAGTGCAGGGTTGCAAATGGGAAACACAACAAAAAGCAAAAATTCTTCTTTGTTATGCCCTTCTTCATCTCCTATGCATGCAGTTGTGGTAAACAAAGTCTGCAAATAATTCAAAGAAGACATTAGTGCTTGTCGTATTAAATTTGCTCCCTGCGCCACACGGAGTGTACCGCTCATTGTGTGGATCGCTTTTTCACAGATAAGTTGGAAAAGAGTGTGCGAAGTAAATGAAAGAATCACACACTCTTTGTCGAGTGTTGTGAGATGCATGCACAAAGTTGCTTTGTTAACGTTCTGAGGTGCTTTCCAGCCCTGGTGAGCCGTTTCACTAATACATGCGTTTTACTGATTGAAAAAAAAAAAACAAACCGCTATCAAGTCTAACACTTTGACAGTTGATTTCGTGGTTGAAAATAATAAACAAATCGATTTAACACGGCTACCCTACCTATGTTGCATTAGTGAAGTCTTGCGTCGAGAAGTCAATGATCCAAGCCGATTTTGCTCTGCTGCTAGTGCGCACTACTCGCATCTGTCAGTAAACGGGATACGGCTATCTGATAGAAACTACATTACACCGTAAAAGCGTTGGGCGCAACAAGAAGTTATACCTTATTATATTTAAAAAATGATCAAATTTAAATTGATTATATAGAAGTTATTTATTTATTTAACTGATTTAAAGTTTATTGACATTACATAGAAAATAATGTGCCCTATCAAGTAAAGTGTGAATATATTTTTTATGCTTTCCCCAATAAGAAATATTAACATTTGAAAAAGGCGTATTTTTTAAAGAAACATGTAATTAACTCTTGATTGGCAAAATAAATTGACGAACTCTGGGCGGAAAAAATTGCGTCTTCAGAAGTACAAGCAGTTATTACCAGACAACTTTGATAAAAAAAAATTAAAAACCAAACCGTTTTTTTTTTCTAGACGCATCCTAAGTAAATTGAGGAAAGTTCCTCTCGAGGTTTTTTCTACAAAATTGCTTGAAATTAGTCGAGCAACAATTTTGTTCAAGAATGTATGCCTCTATTTCTACTAATGAAAAGTATTTTTTTATTCAAATTATAATAAGATCCACGCATTACGCCGAAATGAGGGCCTAACTTTGAAGATCAACTTTGTACAAGACATTGTTTCTATTTGAGGCTCTAAATGCATATATCGTGCTAAATTCCCAATTTGAAAAAATATGCGGTTGTTACAAGGGGTAGGTCATTCCGCACACCAATCTTGGGTCATCTTTTCTTTCAGTGTGCTGCAAGTGTGCCACACGTGTGCTGATTGTGCCGATTGTGACGGTCATAGAGAAAGCTGCAATTGTTTGTAAAATACCTATCCCGGCAACCCGGTATTTCTGACACCTTGAATGTTTTGGTTTGAAACCGCAAGGATTAATCGGTCTAGCGGCATTTGGGATTTAAATTTATTAATGAACCGAGAAGTTAACTGCTAGTCTGAGTTCTTCTGGTATATTTAATTAGAGGATGTTCCTGAATATACAGCCAAATAGTACGTAATGTTGTGAACAAATTCAGTGACCAGTAGTGCTCCCATTTTATTTACAACAATAAAATACCAACGAGATTGTGCCGAAGGTGTTCCAATAGATGTGCCCAAGCTGTGCCAAATCTGTGTAAGACACAATGTGCTGAGTGACTTACCCCTCGGGTTGTTATTACAATGATCAACAAGCCTGTTGTTGTTACCGGTCAGTTTTGACAACAATTCAAGGATGATATAAATGTGTAAAAAAAAAAATACAAAATATGGTACATTTTGAGATGAATATGTACCAAAAACAACAACAACAGACTTATTGGTCATTGTCATGGCAACCACATTTTAAGGTATTTTCAACGTTTGGACAAATTTTGTAATCTAAACAATGAATATCGGCTCCA